TCCTCGTCACCACCCTCCTCGTCACCACCCTCCTCGTCACCACCCTCCTCGTCACCACCCTCCTCGTCACCACCCTCCTCGTCACCACCCTCGCCACCCTCACAACTGCCGTCAGTAGGCGTTGATCCAGGGGGTCCAGTAGCAGTGCATGGGACAGTCCCATTCCCGGGTCCGCCAGGAAGCGTGCTAGTCAAACCCTCACTGGGGAACGCCCCAGAAGTCGTGGTCGGCAGGTCAGAAGTGGACAAAGCAGAAGAAGGCGTAAACGGATTGCCTTGCTCGTCAACCGTGGCGGTGACCGTCACCGTGGCTGTCGCGCCCGCAGAACAGGAGGGCGAGTCCTCGTCTGAACCGGTCGGTATCGCGCTTGGGTAATCTGAACCTGGTTCCAGTGTTGGCCTTGGCAAACCAAAGAAGCCGCCGGCGCTGGTGCTGGTTGTCACGACACTGGAGTTGGTGACGGAGCTGATGGGTACCGGAGCGATGGTGGTAATTTCTTGGTCGTCGCTTCCCCCAGTACCTCCCGTCGTCGTTGTGCCGGTGCCGCCGCTTGTCCCAGTTGTGGCCGGTGGACCTAGGCTCACTTGCATCGAGCCGGGGACTGTTTCTCCTTGTCCTTTTCCGCCCGCAGTGCCGTTGACCATCAACCATGTCGACGCCTTCAGAGTCTTGATACCGGCGCTGTCGCAAAAGGTCTCCAAGTTAAAGTTCTCACGCTTTGAGGCGTCCGACTTCATGCCGGAGAAGGCCAGCTTGTAGCGATCTTGGACAACGAGGGGATGCGGCTGGACGTAGAGAAGCATGAAGAGCATTTGAGGCGCACCAGCCCCCTCGCCGGTCATCTGGAACGGTACGAGTGGGTTCATCTCGGAGATCAGCGTCGGGTTTTCTTCTGATCTCACTTGCAGGCCCGGCTGGACATATGAAAGGTAGATGCTGGACGAGGCAAGAATGTCGAGGGGATCGAGCGAGCTAAGGTTGACGGACAGTTCCAGGCCCAAGGCGATGTATGTCCGGTTCACATCTGCCCCGGGGTACGTTAGAATTGGCGTTGAGCTTACATCTGCTTTCTCATCAGCATTGTCGCATACAGCATCTCCCTGGGCCACCTACCAGCCCAGTTATATTGGCCACCAGGCTCTGTAATGGTCGTAGATCCCATTGTCATGGTCAAGGTCTTCAGGTTGGACTTGCTGTTGGAGCTGACCCCAGTGGCCGAGTTAGAGCCAGAACCGTGGCCAGCGCCATTGCGGGCACCCAGAACAGACCTAATCCAGTATCCGTCCCCCGCCAGGGCGTAATCAGGAAGGAGGGAGGACACGAGGAGAACCGCCAGCGAGGACGGCGAGCTGGTGAAGATGCGCATCTTGGAGAAGATCAAGGTGAAGACGCAATCTGCCAAAACTCCCTATGCAGCGCGAGGTCGTGCTAAGAGGCTTTCGCGCTGCTGGAAGCAAGGAGAGGTATTTGGGACGCAAGACCAGGTCTTCGTTTGGCAGAGGGCCGGTCATTGAATAGCCCGCGAGCTGAAGACAAGATCATGAGATGGGCCAGGAAGCAAACGAAGAGGGTCATCTCCATTACTTTAAACCCGCCAAAGACCCAACGCCATGGCGGCCACTGTTGACCATCTTTCCCAAGTTTTGCACGACTACATCAGTTGAAGCTCAATCCTGAAGCCCTGAGACCCAGTGTGCGGCCGCTAGGGGACTGCACAGAGATGGCTATACAATACTGAGATCAAGAGGATAGAGCACACAAGAGACGAAACAGGTTTCAACCAGCTTACTTAGCAGGCCAACACTGATGGACACGACCGGCAGACGAGACCAGCAGACGAGACCACCCTGTGGACCTCTGCACCGGTCCCGACAGTGGACTGAATAAGGTCGGCATGCCGACGGAGAGGCGTGGAGCCGGCTGCTTCGGTGAAGTGTGTGCAGTGTGTATCGCCAGAAGCCAAGCCAAGGGACATGGCTGACAACGGTGTTGGGGTCCACAGCTCTGATGGCTGCGCCGTGCGGCACACAGATCCCAACAAGCAATTTGACTGTGTATGGGCTTCACATGGCCAGGGCAGGCCGTTTTGGATAAGTCTGGCACAGTGAGCTTCAGATGCTGCCAGAGCTGGGCTCGGGTGTCAAGAAGCTTTCGCTGCTGGAGTCGAAAATTAGCAACGAGCTCCGGGTCTGTGAGCTGGTCATCGCCTGTGTTTGTGTTGGGTTAACCCAGAGAGGCACGTCGGTTTGAACTCGGCGCACAGCCTGACGGATGATGAGGAGTTGTCGCATCAACGATACTGTTGGGTTGATGGGCGTTGGTTGGATTGTGTGACGTCGATGACTCGGCTTCCTGCGCAATGGATAAGGGATCTGATAAGACAGAAGCTGCGGTGAGGTTCTGGTACATGCATCAGTGCCTTGGAGAATACGCCCCAGTTGGAAATATGTAAAAGTAATCACGACGAGGATTGATTCGATTCGCATTCCACTTCGTAGCATCATAGCCTACCTAGCATCCCTCTCGGTCCATGCCTTGTTCAGGTCTCGTGCTGGCCATACTGTTGGAGCTGTGGAACGTTGAGAACTTGAGAAGAGTGCTACGTTGTACGTACTATCTCTGCACCATAATTGGAACTGGGAGGAAGAAGCAACCATGAGGCACGGTGGGGCTGGCAGAGGACAGCCTTCTCCACGATTATGTAAGTCTACAGAACGGTCTGGACCGGATTCCGTCGTTGCCCGCTTATCTTGCTTGGCATTCGATCTTGGCGTGCCGCGGCATTGGAGCGCTCTCCCGCGCTAGCACCACCACCTTCTGGAGAGATCTTTCCTGTAGCCCATGTTTGGCTCTTTCCAGCCCAATCGAACAAAACACTCCGGGTCAAGTTTCAATACTTTCCTGCTTGCTTGCTTTTCGGGAAGGAAGTTTCTCGTCGAAACCCGAAACCCCCGGAAACAGCATCTTTGGAACCAGCATTTGTGGGCTTGGCGGTCAGCTGAACAAAGAGCTAAGGCGCGGGGCACATCATGGGGACGGGGCAGGCACCTGCCACATCCAAGCAATTCCATGGATTGCGTGCTGTTTTGCCCACCTGCGCCGCTTAGGTTGTTTCGTCTTTTCCACGATGGCTTCCGCCACTCGGGACTCAGCGATCACGCCCAGGATCACGCCCAAGACAGGGCTTGTTATTAGTTTGGTTTTGTGAGAACCAGCGTTGTTCTTGGCAAAGCCTCGAGCTGCGTCAACACGTGCGAGATGGATGCACTTTGGCACCCTGATGAACCCACTCCGCCGATTCGGTGTATTTCTTATCCATGGTGCGGCGGTTTAGAGAAGAAGCCCGTCTCAGACCGCCGTTTGTAAATACCTAGCAGCGCGGTCCACACGATCCTCTCCCGGTGCTCTCACCAACCGTCTGACTGGCTGACGTACGGCCGATGAGCTCCCTGCACATTCGGACCTAAGCCCAGATCGACGGTCCTCCCCAGAACCAACCATTCGATCTTAACGTCTGTTTGACGGACGCCAGACACTTGGTTTGAACTCCTTTCAAGCCCACAGTTTCGTATATCCGCATATTCGGAGCGCCTCGACGGCTTAGCATAGGAAACAAATACCCGACCCGTTCGCCGACGCCACGAGACATGGCGGGCGGCGGCTCGACGAACGGCACCGGCACGGGGGCTCCACCCCAGGCCGGTGTGCTCGAGGGCGTCAATCCCATTGAGTTCAGCCCTGGGAATCCAATTATGCTTTTCATCATTCAGGCAAGTACTGTACCTGGTGCCGTTTCGGCTGTCCTGGACGGGCCGGAAGGGGTTCAACTGGCCCGGGCACCGGGTCGCCTTGGTCTCGGGCCATTCCCACGCGAGCCACGCTAACAATAGTACACTACACATCGCAGGCCATCATCGTCATCCTATTTTGTCAACTGCTGCACTGTGAGTCTCCGATCCAAACCTGCATGGATTGACACCTTGGGCTGACTGGCGTAGATCCTCTCCGGCTGCTGAACCAGCCCCGTGTTATCGCCGAGGTCATCGGTGGTATCCTGCTGGGTCCGTCGGTCATGTCAAGGATACCGGGATTCAAGCAAAGTGCGTACTGGAAATTCTGGGACTTAGTTAGTTGCCTTTCATGGTTGCTGACACAGACCGCAGCCATCTTCCCGGATGCCTCTATGCCCGTGTTTAACAATGTAGCCAACATGGGCCTTCTTATCTTTTTGTTCTTGGTCGCTCTTGAGGTCGACATCCGTATGTTCACTCAGAACTGGAAGGCCGCCCTCAGCGTCGGTCTGGCCGGCATGGTCATTCCCTTTGGTTTGGGCTTCGCCATAGCCTGGGGCATCTACCACCAGTTCGCACCCGTCCAGCCAATTAGCTTCGGTGTCTACGGCTTGTTCGTTGGCACCGCGCTGGCCATTACCGCCTTCCCCGTGCTCTGCCGGATTCTCAGTGAACTGAATCTGCTCCGCTCAAATGTGGGCGTCACTGTGTTGGCCGCCGGTATTGGCAACGACGTGACGGGCTGGGTGCTCCTCGCCCTCTGCGTGGCCCTGACCAACAACAGCAGCGGCCTAGCTGCGCTCTGGGCCCTTCTCTGCTGTATCGGCTGGACTCTGTTGTTGGTGTTTGTCGTCCGACCACCTTTCATCTGGGTCCTTAGGCGGACCGGAAGCCTCCAAAACGGGCCTACTCAGGGCATGGTCGCCTTGACCATGCTCATGGTATTTGCTTCTGCATGGTTCACCGGTAGGTTCGGATCGTCTCAACCAGACTGCTACGAGCGCCCCCCCGGTACTGACGGTCTTCCTAGGGATTATCGGGGTCCATCCCATCTTTGGGGCCTTCTTAGTTGGCTTGATCTGCCCCCATGACGGTGGCTTCGCGATCAAGCTGACCGAAAAGATTGAAGACCTGATTTCAGTCCTGTTCTTGCCCCTCTACTTTGCGCTTTCCGGGCTGAACACGAATCTTGGTCTTCTGAGCGATGGCATCACATGGGGATACATCATTGGCATTATCGCATGCGCCTTTGTCGGCAAGATTGCCGGCGGAACCCTTGCCGCCCGGGCGAACAAGCTCCTATGGCGCGAAAGCTTCACCATTGGGTGCTTGATGAGCTGCAAGGGCTTGGTGGAGTTGATCGTCTTGGTAAGCTACAATAACTTGTGACTGAAGCCCGGACTGACTGACACTCGTAGAACATCGGTCTTCAAGCGGGGATCCTAACCCCTACCGCTTTCAGCATGTTTGTCGTCATGGCTTTGGTGACGACTGTCGCCACCACGCCTCTTACCAAATATTTGTATCCGCCATGGTACCAGAAAAAGGTTGAGAGGTGGAGGAGAGGAGAGATCGACTGGGATGGCAATCCCACCGACACACCCGAGACGGCTTCAGGAGAGTCTTCTAAAAAGCCAGTCGAGTCGCAAATTCGACGTCTCATGGTGCATCTCCGTCTTGACAGTCTTCCGAGCCTGTTCACGTTTATCACTCTGCTCAGTCCGGAAAGCATCTCGACCACCGGTCAGCCGGACACCACAGCGGACAGCCACAAGGAGCAAGCGATTCAGATCAAAAAGAGACCCCTTGAAGTTCACGGTCTGCGGGTCATCGAGCTCACCGACCGTACCTCGTCAGTGATGCACCTCACTGAAGGCGAGGACTTCTATTCCCTACGCGATCCTGTAGTCAATGCCTTCCGAACATTCTCTCACCTGCATGACGTCGCTGTCTCTGGGCGTGTCGCCGTCGTGCCGACAGACTCGTACGCAGAAACGCTCATGTCCCAGGCGTCTGAGGTCTCGTCGGATTTCGCGCTTATTCCCTGGGGCGAATACGGCAGTGTGTCAGAAGACCAATCCTTCCCCGTCACAGCCAACCCAAGCGAGCGCTTCAAGTCCAGCATGCATCTTGAATTCATCAACCAGACGCTACAAAAGGCAGCAAGCACATGCAACGCGGGAATTTTCATTGACAATGGCTTTGGCGGCATCACAAAATCTGCCGATCGCCCCGAGCTCACTCGTACCAAGAGCGCCATGTCCATCCGTAGCTACCGCGAAATGCCTACCCTGCCAGTCTCCAACAAGAACCATCATATCTTCTTCCCATTCTTCGGCGGCGCCGACGACCGCGTCGCTATCCGAGTCGTCCTCCAGCTCGCCAAGAACCCTCACGTCACGGCCACTATCGTCCGCATCCACTGGCTCGATGCCCAAAACGCCGAGACAAAGACGGTTCTCCAGACAGCGGAAACCGAAAAGAACGGCGGGTCCGCAAGCAAGACCTCCACAGCTGAATCAACCGGCCCGAGCACACCGCCCCCTTCATACGCACACACAGCCAACAATGAGAACGCCGCCGCCCAAGACCCCGAAGACGTCATCCTTTTCTCCACCTTGCAGAACTCCCTCCCGCAAGAGCTCTCCGGCCGAGTCGTCTTCAGCGACCTAGACCTCTCAGCCCCTGCTTCGGCGTCGACCGTTTCCGAAATTGTGCTGCTCGCGCAGGAGACGGTGGGCCAGCAGCCCAAGAACGCGGGCGACATTGTGGTCCTCGGCCGGCGGAACGCCAAGCTGGAAGCTGCGGACCTGGCCGTCGAAGCCGGGAGTAGCGCTCCCGATTTGAAGCGCACGATTGGCGCCATCGGGGAGCAGCTCGTCACGGTCGGCGTTAAGGCCAGTATCTTGGTTATTCAGGCCGGTGGAAGTGCCGCCGTGTAAACGCTTGGATATCTGAGTTTGGTGTTTCTCTTGGGTTTCGGTTCTTGGTTATTGGATGCTGCAATACCCTTGCTGCTACTTATCGCAAGTTTGTTTCTTTGGGGGAGCTGTTGATATGGTTATTTAGCATGCCGTCGAACATATTGCATATGTGAGTCGGCTTGGGTGGTTTCTGGATTGTTATGCTGTGTGATCACGGTTGATGTCTTGATGATAGATATCCCAGGACGATTCTAGTTTCTCTGGCAAAGTTGACAAGGCCTTGGCTCTGGATTGTAGGGACTAAACAGTCAATTATACCTATTGCTGAGCTGGATGTTGGCATGACAATCAGCCCAGATGGCTTTTGGGCGCTGGTATTCATCGTCTCACCGTAAAGCCAACCACGGAGAGGTTCGACGTGCTAAACAGCTCATCTGCCCCGTGCTATGGGATCGTCCTCTGCATCCGAGTATTGGCGGTGTTTGAGCAGATGCTTTTCCAAACGCTGTGTCTGCTGTGAGGATGAAATAGCTTACACCTCCATCTCTCACAATGCAGCACATTTTACTGGGTCTTGAGGGGAATTGCTACTCTTTTGAGTTGATCCGAGTTGATTGCTTATTTTTATATGCATCCCAGCTCATACATGATTCAATAGATGTGAAAATAAAAGAACAAGAAAATTTCAGTCCCAAACCCGTCTCTTTTGCTCCAACGCCCGCTCGCCCGCACCTGCAATTCTGATGATGACGATGATGCTGATGATGATGAGTAGTAACCCTTCCCTCCCTTTCCAGGAGAAAACAAAATGCAGCCTTTAGGTTAACCCTGTCCTCCCTCACTCCATCACCAATCCGGCGCCGAGCCGCAACCCCCTGCGCCAACCATCAACTGCACCGGCTTACGCAATGACAGGCCGTCGCCGTGGGGCCTAACGCCGGGCTTCTTGGCGCGCTGGCCGACAAAGCCAATCTTCTTGTCCACCTCGGCGAACTGGTTGGGGCCGGCGTCGCCCTTCTTGACCATCCACTTCTTGGTGCCCAGGGCGGCGTCGAGCTCCTCGACGGGGGGTAGTTTCAGGTAGACCATGCCGTCGTCGCGCTCCTCGACGTCGAAGGTGGCGATGGAGAGCTCGGAGTCGTTCTTGCAGTCCCCGGCGGCCAGGTCAAAGTTGCGCTTGTGGTGCGGGCATGAGATCCAGGGGGCGCCGCCCTGTGTCATCTTTCGCTCCTGCTCCTTGTCCGGGCAGGAGGAGGATGACGGCGTGTCTTGGCCGACGAGGCCGTCCGACAGGACAAAGGCGCGCTTGTGCGGGCACATTTGCTGCGTGGCGTAGTACTTGCCGCGGATGCGCCACACGGCCAGCTGCGTGTCGCCGCGCTTAATGGTTGCCGAGATGCCGTTGGGCGCGTCGTCGGCGCCCGCGAAGTAGGACGCTTCCAGCACGGGCTGCCACGTGGTGGAGGACCAGCGCGAGCGCAGGGATTTGAAGTCCTCCGTGGCCGAGTCCTTGGTCCACATGACGGGCCGCGCTTGGGTCCGTTCGGGTTCGATCTCCATGTTCTCGACCGTCTCGGGCGTGTTGGCGAATTGCTTGAACTTGGCGGCAATGGCAGGATTGTTGATGGCCTCGGCCCACTCGTCGAAGAAGCTGTCTACAAGCTCCTGCATCTGGGCCTCGAGGGACGCGTTGATGCCCAGCTTGTCTTCGAGGACAACCTCGCGGAGGTACTTGATTCCACCGGGGAGGCCTTCGAGCCAGCTGGCGGTGCGTTGCAGTTTGTCGGCGGTGCGGATGTAAAACATGAGGTAGCGGTCCAGGATGGGAATGACCTCGGTTGGGGGCACATCTTTGGCGAGAAGCTCCGCGTGCCTGGGCTTGGCGCCGCCGTTGCCACCGACGAAGATGTTGAAGCCCTTCTCGGTCGCGATGAGACCGAAGCTAGAGGGGGTTGTCAGTTCTACCCTGATTAAGGGGCCTGGTTAGGAATAGACTTACTCCTTGCTTTGTGCCTCAGCACACTCACGGACACATCCGCTAACACCTCCCTTGATCTTGTGTGGGGCGCGGATGCTCTTGTACCGCTCCTCCAGACGTATCGCCATGCCAACACTGTCACCAATGCCGAAGCGGCACCACGTCGTACCGACGCAACTCTTGACGGTCCGCAAAGCCTTGGCGTAGGCGTGACCGCTCTCCATGCCGGCGTCTACCAACCGCTTCCAGATGTCGAGCAGGTCCTGCTTCTTTGCGCCGAACAGGTCGATACGCTGACCACCAGTGATCTTGGTGTATAAGCCGTACTCTTTGGCCACCTGGCCCATGACAATAAGCCAATCCGGGTTGATCTCGCCGCCGGATACTCTGGGAACGACGCTGTATGTGCCGTTGCGCTGGATGTTGCCGAGGAAGCGGTCGTTGGTGTCTTGTAGACCGTGGTGCGGCTTGTCCATGACGTGCTTGTTCCACAGACTCGCAAAGATACTTGCGAGGCAGGGTTTGCATACTTCGCAGCCGATACTGTCCGGGTCGGTGCCGGCTTCCCTCATCACGTCTGGGAGCGTCTTTAGCCGCTTGACCAAGATGATGTTGTACAAATCCGCGCGGCTGTAGTTGAAGTGAGGGCAGAGATTGTTCTTGACCTCGTTACCCATATCCTTCATTGTCTTGTTGAAGATGGACGTGACCAGGGGCATGCAGCCGCCGCAGCCTGTGCCTGCTTTAGTGCATGACTTGACCTCGCCGATTGATTTGCAAGAGCCGTCCTTGACCACATTGGCGATGTCCCCTTTTGTGACATTATGACAGCTGCAGATCTGTGTGTCGTCGTCGAGGTCGTCAGTGCCGTCGTCGCCGTCTTTCTTGGCACCGAGAATGAGCTCTGCGGGCGGCACCTCGAGCTCTTTTTGGTTCTTGACCATGGGAACCAGCTTGACATAATCCTTTGTGTCGCCAATCATCATGCCACCAAGGAGGTACTTGCCATCCTTGGTGAAAATGTACTTCTTGTACACGTGCTGGAACGGATCCTTGTATGTCAGCGATCTTACCAAGTCCCTCTCTGCGCCGTTTGTGTTTCCGTTTTTGAGAGATTTCTTCGCTTTTGGCGGTAGAGAGATGGGACCATCGCGGTCGGCGAACCAGTCACCAAAGCTGGCGACTTCGACGCCTAGCAGCTTGAGCTTGGTGCTAAGGTCAGGGCGCTTGAACAGGCGCGGCTGGTGGAGCTTGGCTTGTGTGAGGTTGAAGGCTAGGAGGTCGGCCATCTCAACACCAGGGGCGATAAGGCCAAACGTCTGCCCGGCCCAGCTCGCACATTCGCCAATGGCGTAGATATCTGGATGGCTGGTTCTGAGTTCATCATCGACGGCGATCCCGCCCATACGCTCGGTTACTTTCAGACCGGCCTGCCTTGCCAGCTCGTCGCGCGGCCGGACTCCAATAGCGAAACACACGGTCGAGCAGTCGAAGTACTCGCCGTTGTTAAAGAATATGCCCCGCACCCTGTTTTGATCGTCGACGTCGATCTTGGAAACGGACTTTTCCAACAAGACGTCAACGCCAAGCGCTCTGACTTGTTCGCATACCATGCCGCCCGCCTCGGCGTCCAGTTGCCGGCTAAGGAGCCAAGGGCTGCGTTCGAGGACCTTGACATTCTCGAAGCATTCTAGGTCCATCATGGCCTTGGCGGCTTCGAGGCCCAACAAGCCTCCGCCCACGACAGCGCCGACAGTCCCTTTCTGGTTTGCTGAAAAGGTGATAAGCTTCTCCAAGTCCTCGACGGTCCGGTAGACAAAAACGCCAGTAGCGTCGTGGCCAGGGACCGCTGTCGGAAGCAGAGCATTGGAGCCAGTGGCCAAGACGAGTATGTCGTATTCGATCTCATCCCCGTTGGAGCAGACGATAGCTTTCCTGTCTGGGAGAATTTGGGTGACTGTGGTGTTGAGGTGGTAGCCCAGAGCTCCGTCGGTGATTGACTCGTACTAGGAAAGCAGGTTTAGCAATGCTTTCTCGCCCGCTGCGGACTGGGGAGGCTTACCCATGATAGCGGGTTCAGGTACAAGTTCTCGACTTTTCGGTGCTCAAAGAAGCTTGTCAGGCCAACGCGGTTGTATGCCACGTGCTTTTCCTCGCCGACCACGACGATGTTATACTCGCGTGTCCTTGCGTCGAGCTTCAGGAGTTTCTCTCTTAGGGTTGGTTAGTCTATGCTTAGGGAAGTGAATTGTCTGAGCAAAGGTAGACTTACATGAAGCTGATGCCGACCATGCCCAGGCCGACAACGACGACCTTTTTGCGAGCACCCGCGGCCATCTTGGGGTGGTGTTCTACGAGTATACTACCATAAAAGGCCGGAATGGGGAAGTGTTGGGAGGAAGAATGGATCGGTATGTGAGAAAGGGGATAGGGGGTACTCAAAACTCTCGTCTCCCTTTCTCGTGATCAGGCGGATGGAACCGGTAGGGAGAAGGAGAGAGAATAAAGATGGAAAGGAGACGGCAAGCAGAAGGATGGCACGCAGTGATAGATAGTTGGATAGACCGAGCCTACCTCTACACCTGAGGAGGGAGAGGTAATATTGGAGCAGCAAAGCATAATGTTATTATCATCTAATCTCTAAATCGCGCCAGTCACTCACTCATAGTGGTGCTTTGGAAGGGAACCTAATGGCAAAAAACATGTCAAAACATGCATTTCCGGCCTGGCGCATATGGAACATTTTGTTGTCGTTAGTGGTGGTCAGTGTGGTTAATGTGGTAAGTGCCATGACGCATGGACGGAGCATGGCGGAAAAGCCTCGTTCGAGTGCGGGATGGCCCAGGTTATGTTGCTCAACAGGCGGCTCAATGTCGCTCGTTGCGGCATCTCCACGGTCTGCGCGGCCTTGTTGCAGACGGAGTGAATTCGGGAAGTCGCCCCTGTACGGATACGCACCTTACCGGTACACATGATGTTAGTGTAGGGAAAGACCGAGTTGCTCGAGATAAGGCCATGGATAAGCCCAGATCCCACTGATAAGCCAGCCTGACCAATCAGGTGTTGTATATTCTGATCGCTACTTCCGTGCCTGGCACACCCGCGGAGATAGCTCAGGACGGGGGTCAAAGTGTGTTTCTTTCCACTTCAAACATCCACCCGCCAGATCTGACCTCTCGCAATCCGGCTTTTACTCAGGCACCGTTTGAGCGCTGCTCGGTAGCTTGGCGATTGGTTCCAGACTTCTTCCACCCGGCAGTTCCTAGCCGCGGACTTACGGGTATCTTCATCTCCGATCTAGATTGCAGATTGATCAATAAATACCTGCAATAGCACTGCGCGACATTCCAGCCTAGGCCAGGCAAACCCCGCTGAAATCACACCATGGAGAGAACTCCCGCATCTGGGTGTGGCGATTGTGGTGCATCTCCGGCCCCACATCGGGCCTGGACGGGCGAAGATGGATTAAACCGGGCCTCCGTCTTGGCTCAGCTGTCGGTCCGGCCTCATCAGATGCAATGCCGCTCAGACTGGGGTCCATTCGTCAGTCCACATTCTCGTAATGATTCGTCGTTACTTGGATGTGTGTATCTCCAAGATTAAGATAGAGTACAGCTACAGTAGCGTTTACTGTATTGTACAATACAGCGGACCACGGCACGAACGTGTATCGTGTACGGAGTAGACTTTGGCCAGCCAGCTCCTTTCACTCGAAACCTTGCATTCTCACATAACCGACACACAGCATGTACGGATACTCTGACCCAAATACCAGATAAGTAAGGTAGCTTGGCCCTGCAAACAGCTAAAGGTACACTCCTTCGCAACTTGTACCCCTTCAATACCGTAACACGACCCCCTTAGTCTTCCTTTCCTGCCGCAGCACACAGGCATCATGCAGCCAATCCCTCCTCCCCCTCTCCTCGCTCCCACTAGCAACAACAGGCCACAACCGCTGCCCGGAGAAATCAACAAACGGATTCAGCCCTGCCTCGACAGCAGCAATCTGCGCGAGTATCTCCGCACGCCTCTGCTTCCGCTGCAGCAGCTTGCGCCGCCGTGTCCGCCGCGCTGCCGCCTCCCGATCTTCCTTTGCCGGCAGCGACCATGACAATGACGACGATCGACCCGTCTGATCGGCCGTCCACAACCCCTTCGCCTCCTCCTTCGCTGCAGGTACTCCGACGCGGGGAGGAGGAAGAGATGGTGTCGGCGTCCAAAGCAGCGATTTGCCGCTCTTGGCCTTGCGTTCGCTGCTGCTGCTGCTGCTGCTCTTGCGCTTGCTTCTCGTCCGCGACGGAAGTTCGGTAGCGGCAGCAGCAGGAAGTACGGCAGGTACAGGAGGTACGGGCGGTACGGGCGAAGGCGGGGGCGGGAGTTCCTCTTCCTGCAGCTTGGTGCTGCCAAAGACGAGGGACCGGCGGATCTGCTGACTGAGATGGCGCTGCAGGTCCTGGACCGTATCTGCGATGACAGGCGTGGGCTCCAGGTCGATGTATAACGGCGTTGACGAGGATGCCCCCGACATCCGGCGGCGTTGGACCTCTTCCTGCGCGATCCGCTGCGCGAACAGCCTCTCCTCCTCGAGCGCTTCGATCTGTGCCTGAATGGCGTCACGTTGGGACAGCGGTCTTGCACGGACAGGGGCACTTGCAGGAAATTCTTGATCCTGTGCGCGGGTCTCCTCCCTTTGTTGATCCTGGCTGCTGCTGCCCCGGCTCCCGCTGCGGCTCCGTGAAACGGAGTGCTGGCGCTGGCGGGATTGCTGGCGGCGTAGTTTCTTGGCTGCGTACGCCGACATGGCCGGATGGACAGCCTCCACCGGGCAGGTAATTGCGAGCGACCCGAAGAACACAGGGTGGACGGTAGATACGTCGTAGGTGTAACCCGTAGCGGCAGGATGGAACCACTCGGACCGGGTCACCAGGGACGAGGCAGCGAAGACGGGGTGTCGGACAGCCGAATCAAACGCCGGCTGCGAGAACGATGAGGGAGGTCGCCGGGCTGAGCGCTTGATGGCCTCGTGAAGCGCCGCCTCCCACTCAGCAGGACTGGCAACGACCCGCCTGGGCTTTTTGGGATAGCTCGCCGAGGTCGCCTCGGCCAGAGCGGCCTTCCAATCGTCGGGGCTGGCTTGGGGCCGCGGGTGCTTCCTCTCTGCCTGTATCCAGTTGCGCTTGCTCCGCCTAGGAGCAGTCAGGGGAACCCAAAGGTGTGTTGACATCAGCCGGTCTAACGGTTTAGACTCGAACCTGCGAGATTTTCGGGTCATGTACTTGGCAGCCGGCTCTTCGGCGGTGCTGCGGTAATTCGAGCGATTAGAGCCGGGCGCGAACAGCCCTCGCGGGTGTAGGTCATCCGCTTGACCAGCTGGGCCCCACAAGCTGACAGACTCCTGCTTCTTAACAGTGTCTGCCACCCGAGTTTCGATATGGCTGGTGATCTGAGACAATGCGGGTGCCGGTATCGGGGTTGCCGATGCTGCTGCCGAGCCAGCTGTGCGGGCGTTCAATGAGGCCTTTGGATTCGCAGGTAAGCCTATGCTAATAGCCGGCTTAGGTACGGGCCCCTCGGTCGCAATGGACCCCTGCTGCTCAAAGAGAAACTCTCGAGGCGCAGCCAGGCCAATGACGATCGACTGCTCTCGAGAAGACTGTCCATCCTCTTCGGAGGCCAATTCATCCATGTAGTCATCCACAACCGAGCTGGAGGGCGGAGGAAGAAGACTGTCCTTGGAAGGCACGGCATCTGTCTTCAAAAGGCTGGCGATCTCCCACAGCGTAGTCTCGTCGAAATCATCCTCGCTGTCCTCACCCTCCGAGTCCATGTCGACATCCTCCTCCTCACCATCATCGTAATCATCAAAGAAGGAAGAAGAGTACTCGTCTACCTCTGGCTGTTTCGAGTGGTGTTCCGTAACAACACCGGGGGGTGGCCCGCCCGAGGTCATAGTGCCAGGCATGGCCATGAACATGGTAGAGCGGGGTTGAATGGATGCCGTGTTGGATTTCTCGCCCCAGGGAAATTGAAAGATTCCAAGAGTTCCACGCTGATCCGGGAGCGGCTCTGGGCTTTCAAGAATATCCGGGAGCAACGTTATGCGCTTGCTGCGACGCGGCGGCCGACTTATTACCTGTCGTGGCGCCTTTTGCGCCTGAGGTGGCCCTTGTGATGACAGATGCGCAGGATCCGCCGGCGGCGCTGCTGACGCCCAGATCGGTCGCCACAGGCCACTTGTCGAGCGATTGGCGGTGCTGTAAGGCTTGCGCCAAAGCTGTGAGCTCTGGATCTGAAGGGGAGCGAATTGGTTTCTCCGTTTTGGCCGAAGCGAGAGCCCAGGAAGTGGTGCCTCCAGTTCCACAGAAGTGCTGGGAACGGGTATCCATAGAAAGCCGGCTGGCGCGGACGATATGCTGGGCTCTGGCATCCAGAGCGATGCAGGCTTGGGCGGCGTCACCGGCAGGTCCTTGGCCTTTTCCTTTTCGAGATTGCTTGGAAGAGGTGGCAGCTCCTCGTCCGAGTGGTCCCAATCAGGCGGAGTAGGACTGGCTAATTGGGGTCGGGTCAATTGCATGAACTTGACACTGCTGCTGCGGAGCAGTTGAGCATCCATGTAGTCCATTTGGGCCTCGGTCAGCCTCTTTTGCCAGTTGCTCAATTGCGGGCTCCCAGAGTCTCGGACTGACATCCCGGGGCCCTTGGTGTTGCTGTTACTATTCAAGCGGGCAACCCTTGAAGCTCTGCGCTCCGCGGCGATGCCCGGCCGGAGATATGAGTGGCGGGATGTGTTGTCAGTTACAAGAGACTCGCGTTGCGAGCTTCTGCCTGACGGAGATGCAGTCTGAATGCTCGACATTGAATCGCGGTTCATGCCATGTTTTATCTCTTGCCAATGGCTCGCCTGCTGCCCCATCTCTTTCTCAAGGTTTTCCAGGAGCGCTAAGCGCTGATTCGGGCTTTCAACAGGAGCTTGGGTGGGGTCTTCAAGGTTTTTTAACTGCGCCTGAATCTGTTCTAACGCCTGGCCCGGCGACTCAAGCGAGGGCGGTGGTGATGCCTCGACTTGAACGGTAATCATTCTCTTGGTGGGTGGCGCGTTCAATAAGAGCGGCGTAGGGGGGGACATTCTCCTGGACCGCCTTTTCGCCATTCTTTCGGAGAATGTCGGGCATTCATCGCCAACGCGCCGATGCCATTGGCTCTGGGTGGCCCGTTCAGGCGTTGCCGTGGTCTCACTCTCCGGGGCCGAAAGTGGTTGAACAACAGCCTGTTGGATCGTAGAGGTGTCAAGCATGATGGGCAGAGTGTCGCTGTTCCGACCATCGGCCGAAGATGTACCGCTCCGAGTCTTGAATGCAGCATCCTGTCGAACTGGCATGCGGACGGACGATGGGAGGCCAACTTTCTGCAGGACCGGAACCCTGATGGCAACCTCGGGAGAATGCATTGAGCTCCAGATCGTGGTCGCATCGTCCTGAGTCCGGTCATCGGTAGTCTCTGTCCAGGCAGAAACACGAGCCGGCCCGGTTGGGATAACCGGGGATGACTCATGTTTCGCACCGTCGCCTTGTCGTGATGGCCCCTTACTGCTCGACTTGCCGTCGACACTTCCAACACCAAAAGCTCGGAGCCAGGAGCTCCCGGCCTCATCTGCGGTATTGACAATGCTCTTTCCTGGCTTCGGAGGGATCTCATCAACTTCTAGGACACTCTCGGTCCGGACAGAAGTCTTGGTTGTCCGACGGTCACCGGAGTCGCTGGGAGAAGACGCAGTGCCCGAGTACCAAGCTGGGACATTTGGGACCGATGGCACCGAGGATATCGGATTAACCGTGTTTCCGCTCGTAGTGGAGCTTGGGAATAGTAAAATCATCTTTTCGTCCACCGTCATGCTCTTGGTATCGTTGGGGTGTGGCCTGGATGGCATGGTGGCACTCATGGGCGGAGGTGGAAGAGGGGGGAGATTGGTCGGACTGCCCGGAGCCGATGTAAGGAAGGATTTTCTGCCCAGAGAACCTCCGGATTTGCTCCTTCTATGAGCCGGAGACGGAGTGGGTTGGGATGGCGACTCGGCTGGTTTTCGCGGGATGGGCCGCGGACGATTGACGACCGAAGCAGAGGTGCCGGGAGTCTCCGTTCCTGAGGCCGTCTTCATGGCTCTATCGCTTGCCCCCTGGATGATGGTTTGTACGCCGACCGGGTCATTATACTCGATGCTGTTCACAAACATGATGGCCTTTTCACCAGCTTCCTGTGCCATTTTGAGGCCTCGCGCTCTGGGATTAGAAGGGAGTCCAATTGTCGGCCGCCTTTGAAGAGGAGTCTTTGTAGGCTCCGGAGGAGGCGTTTTCGGAGATGGAGGCAACATTCTCGAAGGCCGAATACCCGGTCTCGTGACTGGCGGTTGAGGAACACTTACCTGCTCAGGAACAGCTATGGGCCAATCTTGCGGCGACTCGGGCCCAAACTGTGGTACTCGCGTGAGTCTCGCAGATGATAATTGCTGCTGCGCCTGAGCTGGCTCTTGTGTCAATATCCGGGGCGATCTCCGACGCGTTGCGTCCCCGCCTGGTGATAACCGTGCCGACGTAGTTGAGGCAACAGCCTCGTCCTCAGACTGCAAACTTCCGGGGAATGGGCTATTCCGTACGGAGACAGAGGACACCTCTTTCCTCTTGAGACTGACAGCTCTCCTCAGGCCCTCCTCTGGTGTCAGGGTCATGGACCGCACGGCGGATCGATTCGCATCCATCTCTGGCTCTTCCTGCATCCTGGCTCTCCTCTCCTTCTCCGCCATCGCAGCTTCTTTTAGGTCGACCACAACAATCTTGTTCAGAGGATTCTGGGCAGAGTTCGCCTGCAGGATTGGGTTGCTGATGGCGATTTTCGGGCCCGATGATTCGACTGCGGCCCCCTTTGCAAAATCGAAAAGCCGCTTCTTTTCAGGACCAAGCCTTTCCGGTTGGCGAGCAGGTCCCAACACCGCAGTCGTGGGTACAGGGAGCGGGGCCGCCGTCTCTCTTCGGAGAATTCCTTGCAGACCCGTAGGGAACCCGACGTCGGTCTCATCTTTGACTCTCGGGGCCTCTCTGGGGTTGACAAATGTGGTTGAAGACCGGATCGCCGCCTCCTTGAGGTCTTCGTAGCGAGTCGGCGGATAATCCGAATCTGAGGTCGATATATCACGACTTATGTTGATACGCCTAGGCGACGGCGCCTCCGGTGGCCGCGACTGCGCAGTCTTTGACGGGATCAAAGTTTCAGCACCGGTTGCCACGAAGGCTACCAAGGAATATTAGCAGGATGACAACAAATGTGATGTGCCGACATACCGATCAGAACTAATAGACCGCCGGCAGGAAGTGCAGTCCTAGCTGCTAGCGCAATCGTTCTGATGCCGATTAACAAAGGGACGCTGGTCTAGAGAGTTGTTAATATTGATCGGACGCCAGTTGTCAGGGCACGTACCCCTGTCCAGAAGACAAGACCGAGAATAACAGAGTTCAGGGCCTTGGTTTGGCCTGGGCCAGCCACCTTGCCATTGCGCTTTCCTGCCAGGCGCAACATGACGAAGAGAATAACAACGATGACGCCGTCCAAAGCGGCAACCAAGGCGCCAACGGGAAGCGCAGATGTCGAAGCGACGCAGAACGTGTCGGTCTGCGGTCTGGTGAAGCCGATGAAGATAGCCCCAGCCACGAACCGAGCTAGAACCAGCACCTGGGGAATCATGCGTACCGCCGAAAGCTTGCCGCCATTATAACTATTCAAAATCCATACAAGGAACTGCTCGATCGAGAACCGGGCCAACTGATCGAACGTGGAAGAAAAGATGATGCCGACCTGGCAGGGCGTCGGCGACCTCGTGATGTTGAGAAGGACCGTGATGAAAGCAATTTGAGCCCACAGGGCAGAACTCAGGAGAAAAATGGTGAGGACCAGCCTCTGGCTGTCCCGGAATACGGCACGTCCATATCCTCTGACGTAGAGAACGAAAGTCGCGGATGCCGCGTTCAACACGATCCCACTGCCCAAACCTGTCAGCCAGACCAAGTCCAAGTCAATCTCGGGGCCGCTACCCGCAGCGAGTACTCACAAGAAGAAAGCCGCGACGAGGGCCTCGGTAGCACCCTCAACCGCCATTATCGCCCACCGCCCGCCGGGAGAGGCCAAGTAATGACAAAGGGAAGAAGAGAAGGGAACGCAGCCCAGTCAATGGGGCGATTAGATGAAGAAGAAAGTTAACTGATATTACAAGGAGCGGCTCATAATGACAGGTTCCCCGTCCGTCACTATCGTGGTGTTCCGAAGAGTGGCAAGGACATGCACAAGGCCACGGCGTGACCTGTCACGGAGCGGAGAAGTGTAGTAAGGAGAGAAAATCTCCGGTACGAGAGAAAGAGAACGAGAGAACAGGCACGGAAGCCGTGGACAGGTTCCGGCCGGTGCTGGTGCGGGTAAGCTCCGACTGAGAACGTCCCCGGTGGAGAAGGGGTAGACACTCTACCGTGGGACTGAAGGTTGTTGCCGCCAAGGTGACGCTTGACAAGGACCCCTTGGGACAGGGGGGGTTGACAACGGTGACGCACAATACCACAACCCAGCATCTTGCGGCTAGGTGCTTACACGAGGCTCGAGCCCGTGGAAGGCGGGAGTCAAGGAGCGCTCAAACGGGTGCCCTCACTGCCCTGGCTGTTCCATTGTTCATGCGTAGGGCAGGTAGAGCAAGCCATTGGATGACATGCAAGGCTGACAAGCCGATGCTGCGAAAATTCTAGGCGGTTGCATCGTGCCCCAGCTCACTTGAAACCTCAGTTGTTCCAGCTTGCACGGACACGCCTTCACCAATTCATCAAAATTGGGCGGCTCCAGCTACGGCACTTTGGTACCTTGCTGATAAAAGCTCAAGAATCTTTTGTCTGTTCGCCACCCGTCTGGTTATATTTGGAGTGTCGTCGAACACCTCACTGTAAGTCCGCACGTCGGAACATGGGACTGACTCGCATCGCTCGTTCATCACCGGGGATTAGTGATGGCTGATGTTTTCTGACAACCAGTAATTTACCGTTATTTACCGTAAAAACGTGAAAAAATAGGACATTTACAATCGCCAAGCCTGCCAAGAAAGTAAATGCTTAGGGTTATATATGGCCGACCCCCCCATCTTTTTTTCATTGTCATACCCACCCACCACACACTCAATTAGCATCTTCTACTTCGTACACTCGCATACACAAGACAGTCAACCTCCACCACATTGGCATACAACTCTTCCTCCACTTCAGGGTCCTCAGCATTGACTCCCATAGTATTATAGGTGTGCGCCCGTGTTCCCAGCTTCTTCAAGCACCTCCCGTTTATGTATACAAATGCAGCCTGATCCAGAATGTCCCCGGCCAGTCTGTTACGCAAAGCTCCCCTATACAAAGTTCATTCGAGAGAACCTTCGTGATATTCCCGGCACTATCCCCAATGTGGTGGCGGTCAGAGGCGGCAGAACGCATGGATCAACGTATGTCAAAAAGGTTATTTACGGTTCGTTGTAAATGACGTGAAAAAATCTTATTTTTACGGTAAAATCCCATCACTACCGGGGATAACGAAGCGGACGGCAAAGGGAACGCTAAGACGGATATCAGATGAATCGGATAGCATTCTGTCTGCACCCGAGTTCCAGCCGTTTTGATCCCGCCAAGTTACTGCTCCAGGCGTTGAGACTGTTGATTGCAAGGGGTACGGCATGTAGCATTGCCTAAAATTTATCATATGCTCGAGGAGGCGGCAGCAAGATACGCTCGCGTCAGGGTTTAGCCAGTGGGAAGATATTAGACGTTTCCCGGGTCTGTATGTACAAAGGAAGATGAGTTTGAACTGAACCGAATTACCGACGAAGTTTTTCTTGTGTTGGAATGGCAAGAAGCTCAGGGGCAAAAATCGCACGAGGTCACAAGTGTCTCACGGTGGGTGGAGCACTGGAGGCAGGCGCTACTTGGCCCGTGCGCAAAATTCTGCAGGGGTCTGTGTCACACCTCTCAACGCTTTCTCGGCGATTGTCTGGTTGGTCGAGAAGCATCAAAATCCGACAGACACCACTGCAAGTGCGAGCAGCCTCTGCACTCGTCAATGCCAATGGTTCCGAACTGCCAGTCACTTTGCATCTGCCCGAAAGCGTTCTGGACCTTCCTGCTTCTCTTACTTTACAAGCAGCACGCGTAACTAGTACTAATCAGTTTTCAGCCAAAACGTCAACTGGAGATCCCTTCCTCGTTTTAGCCGCCGTCGACTAGCAAGACAGCTGCTTTCAGGAAAAGTTCGAAACAGAAGCGTATCGATCGACAGTAGCCGCGGGGAGATGTCGCGAGATGGCTCGCTGGCGACGCCAGTCTGATCCGGAGCATTCAGCCGATCATGCGGGGTGACCATTTAAACGGTACCTTCGAACAGTACCCTCCGGAGGTATCGCAAAGGAGTCCTTTGCAAACCGCGAAGAAGATTAGCCACGGGCCATGAGGATACTTAGCTACGTATCACTCTCCGTCTTGCAGGCCACCGGTGAATCCAAGGGCGCGCCGTGCCAAGGCTTCCTGCATCGGCCAGCTTCGGCAAGCCGGGCGGGGCGGGGTTATTCCGGAGCACCAGACCGGGCCGGAGGGGCATTAGCCAATCCATGGGATTGTCTTCTCTGAAGGATCCTTTCAAAGGATCCTTTTATAGGTGGCATCCACCAACTGCTCGCTCATCATGAGTCACAGGTCCGCCTGAGCTCTACATGTAGTCATGATTTGAGCGAGAAATTCCTTAAACCACCAAGGGGTCCCTTTATCGCTGCGTTTCCAGAACTCAATCTGTGAATTGGTTAAGTAAACCCAGAGCATCACTACCTTCTGTCAAGATGCCTATCCGTGAGCTTGAATATCCGACTGAGCCTTACAGCACAGTCAAGCGACTGAACGACCGGGGTGAGTTTTCCAAGAGGCTCGCCGCCGAAGCTCCAGAAACATGCCTCTGATCATCCTCAGCGAGTTATGCCCTGGAGACCATCCACCAGATCGTTAACACCTGCCCCATTCTGCATGTCTCTTTCCAACCGTCCAACAGCCCCTTCCCGGCAGTGCTGCCAATGATCGGCCAGATGGGTTCATTCAAGCGGCCCAGTGCCGACCTGGATGAAGTGCTCGATCTGTATCTCCACGGGTCAGTAGCAGTTTCCCATCCCCTCCAACCTCCTTTACCTCTACCCTCGCAAATCCATATAACTAATCTTGTTAACCATCCGTTACTTCCCGTCCCCAAAAATAGCTATGTCTCATCCCGACTAATGAACCTGGCCCGAACCCCCGCCTCGTCCGGATCATCAGAGTCAAACCCCGAACCGGGCCGCCTCCCCATAACGGTGGCCGCGACGCACCTGGACGGGCTGGTGCTGGCCCTGACGCCCAACTCGCACAGCTACAACTACCGCAGCGCCGTGCTGTTCGGACACGCGTCATTGGTCACGGACCCGGCCGAGAAGCTGTACGCCATGGAGCTCATCACGGAGAGCGTGGTGCCGGGCCGGTGGGCGCACTCGCGCGTCCCGCCCAACGCCGCCGAGATGCAGAGCACCAGCATCCTGCGCGTCAAGATCGCCACGGGCAGCGCCAAGATCCGCAGCGGCGGCCCACATGACGAGCGCGGGGATCTGGAGGACGAGGAGATCAAGCGGAAGGTGTGGACGGGCGTGGTCCCCGTCTGGTCCGTCTTGGGGGAGCCGGTGCCGGGGGGGTATAATCAGGTTGCTGAGGTGCCGGAGTATTTGGAAGGGTGGAGGAGGCATGTGAATCGGGAGGCGGAGGAGTTCGCTAAGGAGCAGGTGTTGAATGAGGGGACAGCGAGGAAGAAGACAACCGAGGAGTGAGTGTGCATGTAGAGTATCCATATCAGTCAGCTTTGGTTGCCCGAATCTCACCATTGCGACCTGACCACCCCACTCATCCATTGACGGAGTAGAAGGAGTAAAAAGGGTGAGAAATCCACTGTCCTATTCCCTCCCAGATACCAAACACATGTAAACACTTTAAATTATATACACGGCAAATGAGAACTTAACCGAACCTTCACCAAGCTTCCCACACCACCTCCGGTAGCACGGTCCTCATTACCGTCCAATGTCCCAAAGCACTCATCTCATGCCACTTGGCCAGCCCTTCGGTCGCATTCCGCCTCAGAATCTCATCGCCGCCTTCACTCTCGTCGCTCTTGGCAAAATCCGACCTCTTGACCTCATGTTGGGGTGGCAAAAAAGCCTGTCTCGACGGGCTGTTCAGCAAGTCCCTCTGATTCGGCTTGCGGAACGAGAGATTTCCACGTTGCTTTGTGCAGAAGATCACCATGTTGGTGAAGTCTCGGTTGGTCTGGGCAAAGTCTGTCTCGTTCCGCGGATGTTCCCTAAAGAGCCGGCATGTCGGGAACACAGACTTGATGGTGTTCACTACGATCCGCGGCGGTGGAAGGGCAAAGTCGCCTGCGTAGTTCTAAGGGGGGCAAGGATTAGCGTAACGGGTCGCTGTAGGAAGGAACGGAAGTGGTAGCAAAACATACGATGGCGACGACGCCCTCGGGTTTGAGCAGAGCGCTGAGATTCTCCAGAAACTCCAGGGTGAAAAGGGCGATTGGCTCGGCGCCGCCGGTAAAGACATCGTGGATGATGTAGTCGAAACGGGCCCCGCTCTCGTTGGAAGCCAGACGTGACGTGTAGCTCACCGCATCCTCGATAACGGCCGTATGATTGCTGGGGAGCTGGAAGTACTTGGAGGCAAACTTGTGGACTACGGGGTCTATCTCTACGACCGTCGTGTCAATGCCATGGGCAACAAGAGCAGCCGGAGTGGTGCCAATGCCGAGCCCGCTGGGCAATGTCAGTCCCTACTCTTGGAGCGTACGATGTTCGGGGGGGACTCACATAACGAGGGCCTTTGCCTTGTCGTCCCTGATTGGCTTTGCCGTCTTGACCAGCCTGACAGCCTCAAGCATGGCAAACACGCCGTAGATGGGCTCAGCCACCTGGTTTCCCTTGAACTGGCCTTGGCCGAGGAGCTTAACCCACTCGCCGCCCAACAGGCTGTGGTCGCATCTCATGACGCGATAGCCATCCTTGAGGCTGTCAATGACGGACAAGTAGCCTGTGATGGACTCCTGTCGGTCGAGAACCACGTGCCCCACCGGCGCAAGGCCCCTGTTCAGGGCGGATAGGGCCATGGGCGTCGGGACGTGAGTATTGAAAAGCGCCGTGTGCACCAGCGCCGGTACTGTCCAGACCAGCAATTTCGACGGAGCGACCAGGGTATACGAGGCGGCAAGAAGCAGCTCCATTCCCATCCTGGTGCTAAACAAGGTCCTCCCAACATACGCCTCGATGATCCCACGAAGCACCTTCTCAGCCGCTTTGAAGAAGCCGTACGATCCCAGCCCAGGTGCGGCATCAGCAAGCCACCCAGGCAACTTTGACAAGTCTGCCGCATCCAGATACGTCGCCACGCACGCGGCGGATAATCCCACGAGTGGAAAGAGAGTAACGGCCTCGGTCACCAACGGTCCCCAGCTCGCAGTCAGCACCCCGCTGGCCTTTCCCAGGAAGGACTGCACCGCCGGAATGTAGATGGCGATGACAGGGAGCAGCAATGCGGGTTTGAATGGGAGCGCTCTCTCCAGAAATAGGTTGGCCGACCAGCCGGCGAAGCACGCTGCCATGAGCAGCTTGTCATGCCATCTCGCTGCGGGGATCGACCCGTACACAGGCGACAGAGCAAGCTGTGAGACGGTCGAGTATGCAGCTATGAGGCTGAGGAGAACAAAGGCCTTGACATAGATGGAGCTTTGTTCTTTGGCCCATTTCCCCCAGGTTTCCGTCTTGGCTTTGGCAGCAAGGGCCTTGAGCTCCCGTTCAAAGTTCTCGGGGGTGAAGGAGGAGGAGGAGTCGATGGAGGGCACTGACGATTTTGAGCTTGATGCTTTGCTCTTTTTGTTGCTGGAGGAGGATTTGGGCGCCATTGCGGGCTGATGAGTGATAATTACTCAAATGCCCAAAAGGGGACAAATGAGTTGAGAATTGAGCCTGGTAAGATCAATATCGCAACCAGATCCAAAACATCTCGATGCGTGTTGCAATGTGGTCCCATCCCATGCGATTGGTCGGTCTGATCTGCGACACCGGTAAGGGGCTCGGCGTCAGGGGCAGAGTTGCAATGTTCAGGGTTGGCATCCACTATAAATTCCCTTGAGCTTCCTTTGAAGCTTTATGCTTTTGGGCTCGGTTGGGCTCCGATGACAAGCCTACCTTAGAATCAGAGGCAACTGCTGGTGGATAAGTTAAGGTAGTGCTCTTTCATCACAACTCGGAGAGGATTGAAGGATGTACGTCCCATTCAGGATATACATAATAACATGAGATTCTACTACATACATCACCCAACGAGCTTATCGCAAAGAGGGTTTTGTTCCTGAATCCTCGAAACAGCTCGGCAACAGCTCAAGCTGTTGGCACTGGCAATTTGATTCGAAACAGAAACTGGCTCGACTGGCCAGCCACCGATCCAAAGTGTGGGGTATCAGATGTGGGGTCGCTCGATGCGGCAGGGGCTGCGGAGGTACGTACTACACTATGTTGTCCGTAAGTGGGCCCGTCTTGGCGACCCCAAAGTCCACGGTTGCGTGTGGGCAATAACGTCACCCAAAATTTCCTGGGTCCTTTCTCTGTTCGAGGCTTTGAGCTCGAACTTGCCGTACATTCATCGCTACCTCCGTTCCGCCTGTGCGCTACGCTTCGTCCCAGGTTCTCCCGCTGCAGATCTGCCTGGTAAATAGGTAGCTAGCAACAATGGCCCTTCCTGTCTCTTTGACAGAACTTGTGGATTTCGACCAGCGGAGCTTCTACAGTATGTTCGATGTCGTCACCGCACCGAGGTTCAAGAGTACTCGAGTTCGCTGACGACAAACAGTCTCGGCTGCCGCTATTGCCTTCAACCCGACTTTCTGGAAGTAAGCTCTGAAGATGCTCTCATATCACTGAACGCTGGGTTGCAGACCGCTAACTGCTCCTTTTTTCAGCGTTGTCGCCCGCAGAGGTTCGCCCATCGACTCCTTCTCCCTGTCGTGATCACCACAGTTGTCTGACCTTGAATTGGTAGAGTACCGCACCAAGTTTCTCACGCGCCTGTTTGGCGGCAATGCTCAGACAGCATGTTACGCACTGGCGGTGACGATCTTTTCTCTCGGTCTGATCCGTGACTTCTTGTATGAGCGCGCCCTGCGGGATCAGCCCTCGCATCCGGCGCTAGAAGGTCCTCTGGTTACCTATGCGGCATACGCACTATTGGCATTCGGCAATCTCCTGGTTATATCGTCAACCTGGCAGTTAGGCATCACGGGCACATTCCTTGGCGACTACTTCGGCATCCTGATGGATGACATCGTGACCGGATTCCCCTTCAACATCACCAACGCCCCGATGTACTATGGCTCCACAATGAGCTTCCTTGGTACTGCTTTGTTATATGGAAAGCCCGCTGGTATCTTGCTCACCCTGCATGTGCTTGTGGTGTACCTGGTGGCCATACAATTTGAGAATCCTTTCACCGCGAGCATATATGCCAAGCGCGATCGCGAGAGAGCCAAGTCTGGGACGAAGTACGAGGAGAAGAAGGAACTTTGATGTCGCCACTGCTATGGGGCAGTGGTAATCAATGAGAGGAGATTGAAATCAGGGCGCAAAGACGACGGCATATGCAAGCAAGCCTGTGCTGATCTTCTCACCGGCTAAGAGATTCGTGTCGGCGGTCGGTGCCCCAGCCCCTGAATTGGTTGCAGAGGAATGCAAACAATGCTAGATCTCGGCAAGGAGAAGGAAGGAACAGAACCTCCTTTCAACGATGGTGGTTGTGGTGCGAGGAGCACAGGGCAGAGGACTGGTTGGGAGGTGTGTTAGGGGGAAGCCGTGAAGGAGCTTCCGTCCGATGTCGAATTAGCCATCAACTGGCCAAACTAGCCAACACTAGACAGACAAGTAGAGTAGGAGATACCAGATTATAGGGATTACGTTACGTAATCACCTCTGATCCAAACAGAGGCAGCGGTAAGCTTCCAACGTCACAGATCGCCCGGCATACCCAGCTACAGCGAAGTGCTGGCTGGGTCGCCCTGCATTATACCTATTCTGAGGACAGGTCAAGATGCCCGGCGTTCCTGCCTACCTCGGGCTCCTTTCATACCTAGGTACAGCTAACGTATAAGCAGGCCGGGCAGGTAGGTGGCCAGGGGAGCGCTATGGCCGCCATTACAATGACGGCATCGCATGAGTGGAGCTATGCTGACTCGTCTTGCAGGTTGGACAATTCGGAAGGACGCCTCGTTGTCTAAGTTTGGGGAATATCGCGACCATAAGCTTCAATTGTCTTGAAGCTCCAAGCGCCTTCCAATCTGGGGACCACTTACCGACCTTGTACCCTTCGATTACTAACGTTCCTACCACACCTCAGCTCGGCCAGTTCGGGTATCATGGGGACGACTTCGGTCCTTCCGCCCCATTTCGTGCTCTGCCTGCGTTCATAAACAATACCCAACCCGACCTGTTCCTAGGTAGTCTCCCCCGACCAGTGCCTGCTAGCAACCATCATCTCGACCTGACAAGCTGCTCCGATTCTCCTAGGCTGCAAATTCCCAACATGAACCGACCTTCTAGGACTGACGAGCCTCAAGCCACCGATGGCTACAACCAGAACCCGTCTCAATTTTCGAATGACCTTGTCACAAATCAGGATCTCAACGGCATCGCCAACTCCAGGCTTCTTCTAAGAGAACAAAGTCCTGCAACGATGGATTCGAGATTGGTTGACTCAGACCCGATTGTGACCCTGCCAAAAAAGGGCAGTGACATGACCGCCAGCAGTCGAGACTCCGCGCAATTCCATACCGGGGTCTCTGGACCGGGTTCGAGCCGTCACCGTGAGGACTCAGCTGCTACAGGCCACGGACACTACTGTATTGGGTCCGAGCCGTCATCCGCCACTTGGACGAGCCGCTCTAAGCGTGTGCTGATCACGTTTGGCAAGTTCGTCGGGCCCGGCTTCATGGTTGCCGTTGCCTACAGTAGGGCGTCCATCACTGGACATGGCCGAGCAGGTTTACTGATGTCGTCTCGCTAGTCGACCCCGGCAACTATGCCACAGACGTGGCGGCTGGCGCTTCGTATCGGTTCCGCCTATTGTTCATTGTACTCCTCAGCAATATTTTTGCTATATTCCTTCAGAGCTTGGCCATCAAACTAGGCACCGTGAGCGGACTCAACCTTGCCGAGGCATGTCGGGCATTTTTGCCTCGTTGGCTCAACTATGCTCTGTACGCCATGGCCGAAGCGGCCATTATCGCGACCGACATAGCCGAGGTCAAACTCCCTCGCGTCCTGTTGACCGCTTGGAGCTAATTCTCTACAGGTCATCGGGACAGCAATTGCGATAAACCTGCTTATTCCCCAGATACCTCTCGTGGCCGGCTGTGCGCTATCAATCCTCGAAGTAATGGTGATTCTAATCTTCTACCGACCCAGCGGGTCGATGCAGGGACTGCGGACTTTTGAATATTTTGTGATGCTCCTTGTCTTGGCTGTCGTTGTCTGCTTCTGTATCCAGCTGGCTCTAATCCGGAACGCCTCAGTAGGCGAGGTGTTCCGAGGCTACCTCCCATCCAGCGCCCTAGTAGAGAAAACTGCCCTCTACCAAGCTTGCGGCATCCTTGGCGCCACAGTAATGCCGCACAGTCTGTATCTCGGCTCGGGAATAGTCCAGCCGCGTCTCTACGAGTATGACAGGAACGCAGGCCTGCTCTCGCCGAGCCGTTCCTCGTCTTCCGCCAGCTCCTTGAATGCTGACAGAGCTGGAGACAGCGCCAGCACCGACGATGACAGAAAGGAGTACGTCCCTTCCCTGGCCGCCATCCGTCATTCCCTCAAATACTCCATTACGGAGCTAGTCATCTCCCTCTTCACCTTTGCCCTCTTCGTCAACAGCGCCATCCTCATTGTGGCCGGCGCAAGCCTATACGATGACAAGAACAGCCCTGACGCGCTAGACGCCGACCTCTTTGGCATCCACGCGCTGCTGCGCACCTCCATCGCGCCGGCCGCGGGCACCGTTTTTGCGCTGGCGCTGCTCTTTTCGGGCGTCAGCGCCGGCATCGTGTGCACCATTGCCGGGCAGATGGTCAGCGAGGGTGCCCTGCGCTGGTCGCTCCGCCCTTGGCTGCGGCGGCTGGTGACGCGCTCCATCAGCATCGTGCCCAGCATCGTCATGGCCGCCGCCGTCGGCAGGCAAGGGCTCGACGCCGCGCTCAACGGTAGCCAGGTCGCCCTGAGCATCGCACTTCCCTTTGTCAGCGCCCCGCTCATCTACTTCACCTCGCTGAACCGGTACATGATGGTCCGGCCCGGCCTGGCGAGGTACGGTGGGCAGTATGTGAGTGTTGGCGGCGTGGAAAGAGGCAGATCTCGCTCCGAGGAGGTTGCTGAGGCTATGCTGCGCTGCGGCCGCTGGGGTTGGGTTAAGCATTTGCTTGGACTTGGGGAGGAGCCTGACGATAGCGAGGGAGGGGTGAGGATGGCCAACGGATGGTTGGTAACCTCGTTTGGAGTGGTTGTATGGCTGATTATTGCGGTCATGAACGTTGCGAATCTAGTGCTCTTGGGTATGGGGAGGTAGTGTAGTAGTTTTCCACTTGTGTAAAGTATAAGGTATATATTCTACGAGGTAGGAAAAACTTAGGAGGAGTCGAGACAAATGGTTAGATAAGTGGTACTAGGCGAGTAGTGCAAAGTACCGGTGCTGTTGAATCTATTGAGAAGGCCGAATAGAAAGCAGAGGCTGCACTGAAGCCCGGAGTACCACTGAGAACACCGACCAGAAGGCCCAGAAGGGTCCCTTTTTCTCTTTTTCGACGGCGCGGCTGCTGCCTCTTCATTCTTCTCTGGCTCTTCGAAGCATCGCCAATCTTGGCTCGCCTGGGAGCGCGTTTGTTCTCGGCGCTAGCATCATTGGCGATCTCCTCGTCACTCTGCTCTTCCTCCTCGGTCCACCGCCCAGAGTGGCGCTGACAAGACCACAAACATGCTGAAGACCACCGATCAGGGTCTGGATTTTGAGGCATGTAATGACTAACACGAGGCTTGGAGATCAAAGAAGAAGACGAGGCTGGGATAAGAAAGGTGTTTCTGCTAAGGGACATCTAGAGCCGGAAGAGCGGAAGGAACCACTGCATACAATACCGGTATTTATTGTGGTTCAGCTGGGCAGCTCCAACTTGATCAATAGGTACTTTGAGCCCATCTCCAACCACACAAAATACCACCTCAGTCTTCCACTGCTTTTCAGTCTTCAACAGGCGCATTTACTTCACTTGAAACCTAGCTTGAAGGATTGAGACTCTAGTAACCTATAGCGCTGCTATCTCGGACGCTAAATTGTACGTGGGGAAGCTCAGACCCAGTTCAGGGGTAAAGTAAACAAACACACCCATGGGTCGGGTCTCAAAGTCGGGCACCTATTTCAAGGACAAGCGGCTAATACAGGGCTTCTATGAAGTGAGATTCTTATAATATACCTTGAAACTCACACGCTGTTGAACAAATTAATCTTGTTCGGTTGGCTTAGACGACAAAGCAATAGGTTAGTGTTGGTCGAAACGCATTGTGATTCTGAGGCACAGAGCTACTTCTAGCCAGCTTCAAAGCAGTAGTTGAACAATGGCTTGGATTCAATTGAGTGGTATTGTTGGAAGAGGACATCAAAAGCATAGACGTGGTCAGACTGAATGTTAGTCGCGATCGAGCCCCAAGCTCGGATGGAAGAGAGATTATTTGGATGTTTTAGCATATAAATACTGCTGCTGCCCAGATAATCCATCACATTTTCCTTCATTCTGAAGCTAGATCGGATCGCGAGCGCCAGCCATCCACTCTTCATCACCTAACTATCGCGCGTCGACATCACGGCAACGCTCTATCATTCTCAAGTAAGTGCAGTTATTTTCTTATCCTTTCCTCGTTGGTTTTACGCGTTCTCGGTGATGAGAAAGAGGTTTCGGCGATGAGAAAAACTTCTTGGCAATGAGAAAGAGCAATCCGGACATTGTTCTTCGACCTGAACAACTGTATGGAGATTGCCATGACCCTTCTGCAACTGCCAGATCCATGGCAGGGCATTTCCCATTCCGATATGTCTGCCCGAATGACACACGATATATACAACCTGGGACTTCTTGCCAAATCTATTATGACCTGCTAATACCGCTGGACGACTTTGTTCTTACTCTTCTGATAGACACTGCTGTTCATCTCTCGCACATGCAATGCTAACAACATGATAGAAGGCAAATCACCTTACAAACTCTTGGAAAATGGCCGACATCGCCTTTCCCCCATACCAAACCACCGGGACCAAGCGTGCCCGCGACGACAGCTGCTCCCCTCAAATCAGCCACTTCACCAGCACAGACACATCCTCTGGCTACTCATCTCCTACCTCGCCAGACACCCCTCCGCAAGCCAAACGGCGCCGCCTCGATAGCGACGAGGACGCCGTCAGCACCATCACCGCCCCGTCCACTCCTGCCGACTCCGACTCCTCCTCTGCCACCAGCCAGACAGCGGTGGATGAGGGTCTTCTCCGCGCCTGGGCCCGCAAAGAAATGGCATCGTACGCGGCGGAGGCTGGCCTACCCAACGGCGCGCCGGTCAGGGCACCCGGGTGGTACCGTCCGGTGAGCCGGTTTCTATCCGGGCGGCGGCCACGGGCTTGGATCAAAGACTGGGTGACGGGGGAGATCCGTCCAAGGACGATGTTGGATGAGATGGTGGAAAACATGACCGCGGAGAGGAGACAGCGGTGGGTAGAGGATGAAAGGCGGAGGTACTTCCAGGACGACGAGGGAGAGGGAGAAGAACCGGAAGAAGAGGATGATGGTGGCAGTTGTACTTGTACAGGACAGGATAGCGAGTCTGAGGAGGGTGATGACGAGGGGTCGAAAGCGACGGGTTGTGCTGGGGATATAAAGGATGAAGCTGCGAAGGGATAGGTGGTTGGAAACAACATGGACAAGAAGCACATGGAGGGGGATTATATGAAGGGCAAGGTAGAATAGATGAGGGAAGGGATGAAAGAAACAGGCGTCCTTGCGGATGCGAGCAGCCCTGGGGCACAGAGTGTTGTCGTCGTTTGATATCGCCATGACCGTTGTGATAACTTGGTCTTTCCCTGTGAATGTAGCGCTACGGAGCCCCTTGAGTGCCTTCAGCAACCTCTTCCAAAGCCTGCGTCACCTGGCCTTCCACCACCACTTCCTGACCGAGTACAACTCAGGGGGCACGCTGCAGTTTCCAGAAAGAGAAGACGTCTACAACCCGCACCTCCTCTACTCATGCCATGGCTCGCATGGGTATTGCGGCCTGAAATGTGACTCCTGTTCGCGAAAAGGCCAACGGCATGACCACCTACTGTACAGCTCCTGTCTCTTTGGACGTGCCGGAATACAAGGACATCTCTCACTCGCAGCTTTGTCGGCGAGCTTTTCCGTAGTCTCTCCGCGACTCGGCGTAGAAGGGAATCATGCATCTTGAGAGCATGTGAGAGCTTCAGAGGTGAAATCGCCTGCGAGTTCTCCCGGTCATCTTCGACCTTGCAGAACAGCTCGTAGTTCTTGCCTCGGATCGATCGTAGTTGGAAGCATCTTGAGATGTTGGACTTGCTTGCAGGAGGAGAGGTGTTACATGTAGTACGGAGGTACGAATATCCCTATCTGCTTCCAGGTTAAAAAAAGCCAGTGGGACGCAGCTTCAACCTTCACGCCGTTTGGTGCCTGCTTAGCTGCAAGCTTGCAACAGGTTGCTTGGCATTCCAGGTCCAATCACAGGGGCAACAGTGGAAGGATGGGATCCACTCAGAGGGGGGTCTGTGTGCCCTGTGCGCCTGCATGTTGGCCCACTTACCCGACGGGTACGTAACGAGGTAACTTAACGGCCTGCAACACAACTCGAGTTCCTACCATCAGCGTCAAACATCTACACAAACCGTTCGCAATTTTCGCATCTATTTCGAAACCCTCGAATCAAGAGTTGCTCCTAACCAGCCAAGCAAAAATGGACGCGTTTAAAGGACTTCAGAAAAGCCTCACGTATGCATCCCAGCATTGCGGTTTTGAGGGAGCCTATGGGCGAGGGAAGGAAAGCTGCGATATTGATGGCTGACGTCGACGTGGTGCAGCTCTCTGGGTGGGCAGATTACGCCCTTTGCGTCGCGCACCTTCCAGTATACCAAGGAGCAACTGGGCCAAGCTGAGGACAAGGTTCGAAGCGAATTCGGCTGCCGGATCTATTGACAAAACTAACACGGCGCCGGATTGTTAGACCCAGCTTCCTCCCGACTACATTGACCTTGAGAAGCGAGTCGATGCGCTCAAGGCTGTTCATCAGAAGATGCTTGCCGTGACGTAGGTGTCTTGCTGCCTCTACCGAAGGTCACTTAAGCGCTCGCACGGCCTGGCACTAATGTCTTTGGCAACCGCGCAGCTCGCAGTACTCGCACGAGGCCTACGACTACCCGCCCAACATCAAGGAGACGTTTCAGGATCTCGGCCGCACCGTGAGCGAGAAGGTGCAGCTCCTTTCCAACGCCACCTCCCCGGCCGAGGCGCAGGCGGCGCTCACTGCGCCGCCGACCGCGAAGCCGCAACCAAAGACATTCCACCATGCCATCGCGCGCGCCAGCCTGGCCAGCAGCCAGACGCTGCACCAGAGGCACACGGGCGCGGGCGAGGACCCGCTGGCGACGGCGCTGGAGAAGTACGCGCTGGCCATGGAGCGCGTGGGCGAGGCGCGCCTGGCCCAGGACGCCCAGATCCAGAGCCGCTTCCTGGCCGGGTGGAACACGACGCTCAACACAAAGATCCAGTTCGCCACGCGGGCGCGCAAGGCCGTCGAGAAGGCCCGTCTGACGCTCGACGCCGTCAAGGCGCGCGTCAAGGGCACCACGTGGAAGCTGCCCGGAGCTGCGTCGTCGCCGCGCGCCGAGACGCACGATGACCACGAGTTGAGTCCCGAGGCTCAGGAGGAGATTGAAAAGGCCGAGGACGAGTTTGTCACGCAGACTGAGGAGGCCGTGGGAGTTATGAAGAATGTGCGTCCTTTGCCCTCCTCTCCCTTTTTCCGTTATTTATTTGTTGCTTGTCGCTGCTTCAAGAGACCACTCTCCGCTAACGGGACCGCTTACGATAGGCCCTCGACACTCCCGAGCCGCTGCGCAACTTGGCAGAGTTGATTGCGGCACAAATGGAGTTCCACAAGAAGGCCTACGAGATTCTGAGCGAGCTCGCGCCCGTTATTGATGGGCTGCAGGTCGAACAGGAGGCAAGTCGTGCTTCGGCTTACTCTTTGTAGAGATTGGACAGAGATGGGCCATGTGCTGACACAAGGACCTCCCGCAATTCACTGCAGGCGAGCTACCGCAAGAGCCGAGAAAGCGCCTCCTAAATGGCAGGCAGTGTGGTGGATGAGTTTCGGGATGATGCGGGCAATCCCGGAGTCCCTTGATGAGGATGACATAGAATGTTAGCTAGGTGGTCCGGCCTTGGACGCGGTCAGCCTTTGGTGAACGGAGGAGGTATGGCTTGACTGGACTGGGCTTCTCTTTTTATTTGTGTTTTGTCTTCTGAGACAGCTAGGCAGTAGGATTCAGCAGCCCGGTTTCGCTACTCATGCTGTCCGGCTGGTTCTGCGGTTCACTTATGGCTCTGGTTATTTGTCTTCTTCGAGCTGTCTTTGCCTTGTAAATGGTAATATTTCTTATACTGTCCGTTATCCTCTAACTTGCTGGTGCCTTGTACTTCGAGACAACCAGCAACGCATGACCTTTGCCTGCTCATTTTAATTCACTTTGGCTAGGCTCTAGTAATTGTATCAGGTAGGCTCCTGAGGAGTGACGGGGTATGTTCGAACACAGGTTGCAGCTGACGGGGGCTGTCCTTAGCTCACGGGGGGCTTTATGCACAATTTGGGGCGCAAAAGCAGAGGTGATAGCCCCCCGCAAGCTAAGCTCAAAAACTGGGGCTCAAGTACAGTACTTGCAAGCAGCCAAACTACAAAGGTAGTGCATCATAAAGATACTATATAATATTAGAATTAGAACGTTTAACTGTAGCTGGCTTTCAAAACCCTAGTTATCGTGGTTAGCTTAACACCTACAAATTTGCTGTGAAACACGGACCACCCTTAATAATTTGGTAGCAAATGGGCATACGTTCCTGCAAAAACACTATCGCTTACAGGGTACATAGCTGTTACGAATTGTTGACTGGCCCCCAAAGCGTAGTGGAACCTATGATCCTGAGCGGTAAGCGTTGGATATCATGAATGATAAGTGTTGGATAGCCTGAATAGTAAGCTTGGATATACTGAA